AAAAGCAATATGGCCGGGGCAGGGAGAGTCTTTATAGAGACTGGAGTGGGGTTTGTAGGGGCTGAGGCGGGGTTGAGTGAGGTAGTGACTAGGGCATGGAGGAGCCCATGATGTCACTAGGTGGTAGGAGGTGAGCGAGTATTAGGTTACTCTCTAGGTGGGAACAGGGGCATGCTGGGAAGAAGAGTTTGTTCTTTGGTGGGAGCAACCATCTTGGCATGACGTCACACAGGGGAGGGGGTAAGGCACCATAGGAAGAGGGCAGCTACTATACATAATAGCTGCTGAGGTGGTGGGAGACCTATCACATAGATTCAAATAGAATAATAGGGGTGACATCACTACTCCCTTTTCAGTAGTAGACAAATCATGCAGGCCAAGAAAAAATGTAACAAAGAAACATCAATGTTAAATTACACCACAGATCAAATGGACTTCAGATGCCTACAGAGCATTTCAGCCCCAAACTGCATAGCTGCTCATGGAACTGTCTCCAAAACAGATAATATTCCAGACCATAAAACAAGCCTTAACAAGTGTGAGAAAAACGGAAATAATTTCCTGCTTTGTATCAGATCATAATAGAATGAAACTAGAAATCAACAGGCAGAGAAGCTACAGAACCTACACCAACACAGGAAATCAAACAATTTACTTTTGAACGGTCAGTCGAAGAAATCAGAGAAGAAATTAGAAATTTCCTTGAATCAACTGAACATACTAGAATCTCTGGCAAAGAGCAAAGGTGGTTATAAATAATTTATAGCTATGGGTTTCTAAGTCAAAAATATCAAAAAGAACACAAATATATCATCGCGCATCACAAGGCCTTAGAAAAACAAGAACAAAGCAAAATCAAACCCAACAGAAGGAAAGAAATAATAAAGATCAGGGCTGAGATTAATGAAATAAAGACTAAAAGAACAATACACAGGTTCAATTTAACAAGGAGTTAATTCTTTAAAAAGATAAGATTGACAAACCCATAGCCAAACTAACCAAAGAAGCAGAGAAAAGACCTAAATCAGTACAATTAGACATGATAAGAGCGTGTTCCAATAGACACTACTGAAATCCAGAGGATTTTTAAGGATTATTTTGAAAACCCATGTTCTAATAAATTGGAATATCTAGAAGAATTAAATAAATTTCTATACACTTATGATCTACACAAACTAAGAGGATATTAAAAAACAGTCAATAGCCAATATTGAGAGGAAAGCAGTAATAAAAGTCTTACAACAAAGAAAATCCCAGGACCAGATAGGTTTGCTGCTGAATTTTACTAAACTTTTAAGTAAGAAATAATACCAGTGCTCTTCAAACAATCTCATGAACTGGAAAGGAAAGAAATGCTTCCAAAATCATTCTGAGGCTAACATCATCCTTATCTCAAAACCAAATGAGGACACAACAGCAACAAAGAAAATGATAAGCAGATATCCTTGATGAGCACAGATGCAAAAATCCCTAATAAAATACTCACAAAGCAAATTCAACAACACATATAAAAGATTGTACACCATCATCAAGATGATTTCATTCCAGGGATGCAAGAATGGCCCAACATATGCAAATAAATAAACACGATATACCACTTAAATAAAATAAAGTGTAAAAATCACAAGATCATCTCAATTGATGCAGAAAAAACCTTCAACAAAATTTAATATCTCATCATGATAAAATCTCTAGTTTTTGAAGGATCAAACTTCAATATAGTAAAAGCCGTATATGACGAACCCACAGCAAATGTCATTGTGATAAATACTCATTGGTCTCCTTATTGTGTGGAATCTAAAAAAGATGGCATGAAAGTAGAAGAGATTATTATCAGACAAGAGAAAAGGACTAGGTGGTGGTGGATACAGGTGTATGGGAAGATAATAACGGGAATGGATATGATCAAAATATTTCATACCCTTTAAAACCTAATAATTTGTAAAATGAATAGGCACTAATAAAAAAAGAAAAAAAGACTCAGAAAGTGAAAAAAATTATGTTTAGATTTTCTCACCTGCAATGGTTTGGATCCAGAATGTCCTTCAAAGCCCTCATACACTTAGAGGTGGTGCTTTGGGTGGTGACTGCACCATGGGGGTGATTTAGCTGGCTTCCTGTCAAGAGTCGCAGGCTGGTTGGAAGAGGAGGTCACTGGAGGTGGGGCCTGGAAAGGTACGTCTTCCTCTAAGGCTCTCCCTTCTCTTTCCGCTTCCTGGTCACCATGAGCAGCCTTTGCCCCTATTCCCCATTGACATGGCATTCTGCCCTGGAGCCAGCCAATCAGGCTGTAAGTGTGAGCCAAGATAAAGTTCTCCTCGCGTAAGTTCTGGGTGTCAGGTCTTGTATTCCACCAAAGACAAAAGTTTATCAAGACTAGTGGTGATGCAGTGTTCTTAGAAGAATTCTGCTGTTCGCTCTGGCAGCTATTTCCATGACACCAGCACCGTTAGCAACTTCTGATTTGCATGCATGGGCAATAACTGTTACACCATGACTACTGCTTGGCCAGCAATAATAAAACAGATCCCAATTTTTAAAATGTCAGCTTGTGAAAACACAAAGTGCATCTTAAAATGGACAGAACATCATATAAATAGCACTAGAATAGCTCATAGTAAAGAATAAACATGAACTATTATTCTTATTTTGATAATGAGTAAAATATCCTTACATTTTTAAAATCTCTCTCTGAACTTCAACAATGAGAAAATGAGCAAGACATACAGATGGCGAATAAGCATATAAAAATACTGAGCATCACATGTCATTAGCAAAATTGAAAAGGAAGACAAAAACGAGACACCTCTATGTCCTAGTAGGGTGGTAAAATCCCAAACACTGACACCACCAGCCTGATGAGAATGCAAAGCAGGAAGTCCATCATTCATTCTGCTGGGAATGCAAGATGATACAGGCACTTGGTAGACTGCCTGTTACCAAAGGAAACACACTCTAACCATATGATCCATTACTCATGCTGCTTGGTATGTAAGGAAATGAACTGAGAATTTATGCTAAAACCACAAGAAAAGGACCACACACTGGGCATGGTGGCCCACATCTGTAATCCCAGCTCTAAAGAGGCTGAGGCAGAAACATTGCCACTAGTTCAAGCCCACCCCAGGCTACAGAGTGAGTGCCAGGCCAGCCTGGACTCCATACTGAGATCCTGTCTCAAAGAAAAATACACACACACACACACACACACACACACACACAGGAGTTCACAAGAGCTTTATTGGTAACTGCTAACAGTTGGGAGCAAGTGTGATGTATGTCAGTAGGCAATGGAAAAGTAAACTGAGGTATATCCACACAATGCGGTATTATTCAGCACCAAAAAAAGGGGCTAGCAAGCCATACAATAACACAGTGGAAACTTAAATGCACATTACTAAGCAAGAGAAGTCAGTTTAATGATATGTACTAGATGAATATAGATGTGATATTCTGGAAAGGAAAAAACAGTGAAAAAAACCCAGAGCTTTTCAGCGGCTCTGGGAGAAGGGAGGGTAAACACGTGGGGCAGAGGGTTCCGAGAAGGGCGAAAGTCCTCCATGGCACTGCCATGCGGGCCCTGTCATCACACGCATTGTCAAGACTCCCCAGAGTCGCCTCAGAGGGGCCCAGCTCAATCTGTGGGCCTCGCCGAACTCCCCTGGTGTGTTTCTGAGTGTGTGGGTAAGACCAGGTCCCTGTTTTCTTTTAATATAATGCATTATATTGCCATTTCATGATTCGTGTGGATTATTCTATTCCTGAGATGACCCTTAGTTCATCACCACATAATTATTTAAATAATACTGGCTTTGCTTATCTAATATTCGCTTTAATATTTTGGCATTTATATTAATAAGTGGGGTAGGTCTGAAATTACATTTTGTTTTTAATAAACGTTTTTAGCAGTTTTAATTTTCAGAAAAATTGAGTAGAAAACAGAGAATTCTCAGATCTCCCTCTCCCTAGGTTCCCTTTTGATTAACATCTTGCATTAGCGTCGTACATTTGTCACAACTGAAGAGCCAGGACAGAGGTGCTGTTATTAAAGACTGTGGTTTACGTTGATGCTCACTGGGTCGTGCTTTTGGTGGGGTTTTGCAATCGTATAATGACGAGCGTCCACTTTACAGTATCATTCAAAGCAGTTGTGCTGCTTTAAAATCCCGCGTGCTCGGCCGACTCACCTCTCTCCTCCCCAGACTGGTGGCCTGTAATTCACTCTTCCCTCATCGGATAAGGTCGCAGTGTCTGGGTGAACCGCCGCTGGTGTGTGGACTCCCCGCTGAAGGGCATGGACTTTTTATGTATGACCCAAGGTCTAGCACGTCAGCTGCCCTGGAATCATAAAATAAACGTATTTTCTTTTTATCTTTGTTCTGGATAACGTGTGAAATTGAAATTACCTGTACGAAATCGGGCGAAGTATCATGTCTGTTTGTTTTGTTTTGGGTACCTGGGATTGAATTTAGGTCCTTGAGCTTGAAAGGCAGGCGGAGGAACCACCGAGCTAATCCCGGGCCCTATGGTAAAGCGTCTTTGTGAAATGCGGGGTTCCTAGACTGTGTCAGTCGGAATGTAGTCAGGCGACAGAAGTCGGATAGATGAGCAGAAAGGAAATAATGGAAAGAATTACTCAAGGTCCAGGGAAAGCCTCGATTTCTCCAGTCAGCGGACTCAAGGGAGGAAAAGAAAGGAAGACAGAATCCTCCGCCCCAGGCTGATTCGGACTTTGCCGGAGAGGCAGGCCTGGGCCCGGCTGACCGTGTGAACCGAGGCCAGGCCTGCAGGAAGCTGGCTGCCCCGGCAGGCCGGGCCCAGGGCGGCCCTCTGGGCTGCCTGTGAGACTGCAGTACTGCGGGGCGGCCGCCAGGCTTCGGGGAGTCCGCTGGAGGCCTGCAGAGCTCGCCTGGACCCGGTGTGCACGGGGAGGGACTCATCAGAACTCCTGCGGTTTGCAGGATGCACCAAGCCTCCGGGCCCCAGGCAGGGGGCGCTCCCGGAGCAGAGAGCAGCCCCCCGGAAGCCCAGGAGAGGTGCCTGCGCCAGCAGCGACCCTGCAAGAAGTGTCCATGGGGCCCAGCTCCGCTGCACTGCCACAGACAGGTTTTTGATTACCACGTTAGTCTTTGTTAATGTTTGACGATTGATTATGTTTAATTCCTTCCTATTCTAATCTGGAGCCTTAATCTTTTCCCGAGAGTTTGTCTGTTGCCACTAGGCTATCAGTGTTTTGGTGGAATGGCTTTCTAAATATTATTTTAGAGATAATATAAAATATTTTAAGAATTTTAAAGTATAGGATTTTTTTCTTGTACCTTATTTGCATTTATAGCAGAGGTTGTCATTGTTCACCAGAGAACACCTGTGCTTCGCTACATCTCTGGACTCGGTGGGTTACACTGGCCTACCCTAGAGAAAAACAACCAGAGCGTGACTTCCGGCCCAAGGAAGCCAGGACCAGTTCTTCCTCATCCTTCTTCTGCGGCAGCTGCTATGAACCACTGATCAAGGCTCCGTTGGTAAAAGTACAGCCGACAATGCAGCTTCCTTTCCCGATTACTTTTATGATCTTCAGAAAACAGTATAATGTTTGTGCATTGCTTTATTCATTTGTAAAATAAGAATGAATGATTTTCCATATCTCTAAGGATTAATTTATGCTTTTATATTATTCCTTTCCTTCTTGCAGTTTCTTCTCTTGTTTAATTTCTAGCATTTTAGGGAATATTTATCTCATTTATTTATAAATTTCTAGTCTTCTGATGAATACTTCTTGGTTATATAAATAAGTCCCGCAAATTTCTTCTTTAACTATTTTCCAGGAATTTTGACCTTATTCTTATGAATGCTTTTCTTCTGCTGTAATTCATTACTTTAATCTATGAGTTGCATATCTGTGTGTTCTTCTAGTTTATAGATATGTGGGACTTCTCTAAGGCTTTCCATTTGGTTTTGATTTCTAATTTTATTAAATAATAGGTGGGCATTCTGATTGCTTCTTCATAATTTATTGGGGCTTTTTGTGATTCAGCCCTTGAATCTTGTGAATATTTTGACTGTGCTTGGAAAAGAAAAAATATGCTCCCTGGGTATAAAATTATGTATCTTTGTATTCACAGGTATTAATTATCATATATATGAGGTTTTTATTTGTTTCTTTGAACTACTTGTTTTTTACTCAAATTCTTGAAAATCTCTTACTACAGCTACTGGCTTTGTTATTCGTAATTGTCGATTGCTGTCAGAGATTATGCATACATTTTTATGTGGTAATATATTCACTATATTATTCTTTCAATTCTTTTGTTCTTTTTACGGGTCCACACATAAGGTCACCATTTATTTCTAATGATTTTCTATTTAAATTTTATTTACTCTGAAATTAATGTTGCTGATCATATCAGTTTCAATCACATTGCCTTTTCCTTCTTCATTGTAAGTCTGTTGCACATAGGTTATGAATTCATGGGAAAAGAGTGCATACGTAACTACCATAAATTTCTGACTTATAAATGTATAAATCCCTGACTTATTTAATGAGGGTACAGGGGCTTAATGGGAACAAGGTCATTAAGGAGTGGCGTTAAGAACAGCAGCAGCATGTCTTGCATGGCGACTGTTTCATTACCTTCTTTCTAAGTGGGGCACTGCAGCCAGAGACACTTTGACCTTCCTCAGTTGAGTAAAATGCTAAATTTTTATTTCAACTTTGACTTTTTCAGTTGAGGCTTACAATACAATTCCAGAGGAGCTTACATTAGAATCCATTTGGCCTTAGCTTACAAGAGAACATGTAAACATACAGTTTTCTTCTTGATTCTTGACCTGAATTTAGCATCAGTTCAGAACTCAGCTGGCCCCACCTTAGCTGTGTGGAAATCTAGAACATGCTTTCTCCTGTGTGCGCAGAAAGGGGAGTTGGGTGTGTGAACACTTAGCATTGCCCCTGTCAGAATATCCAGTGGAAAGCTTTTCTTTTTTGATTGGCATATTTGACTCAGTTAAGTTTCTTGCAAATTTTACTTTTATTTGTAATCATTACTTACTTTTATATTTCTGACCTTTCAGTTATTTTTCTTTGATCTTATACTGCTTATGAATAACGTTTCTTCTCCAGTCCTTTACATTGTTTAGTTACTAAGTTATTCTCTTCCACTATGGATGATATATTTTTCATTCTCTGAAATCCTGAAACTCGATATTTCAGTTTTTTGTTGGAATATATTTTATTACTCAATCTGTTCAGATCTTTATTTCAACAATTATTTTTATATATATCATTTCTTTTCAAGTACTTTCTTACTGCAGTTCTTTTTCAGAATTACTTATTTCTCCTTGGCACTTTAAATATCTTTATTTCTCCCCTCAAGTATTTTAATGTAGATATTTACAATTCTGTTTCTCTTATGTCCATTTATTCTGCTTCATTAAGTATAAATTGTCCAGCATATTGCTTTTTTTAACTCACACACATCACTGTGGAAATGTCTGAGGTCATGGTTGGTGATGTGAATTGTAGGTCCTACTTCCACTTGTTCTGAGGGAATAGGCACAGTGAGGAGAGTGCTTGTGTGGGAAGAGCTTGGCGTCGCCATTTTAGGTCCGATGAGCTCCATTGTGTCACAGTAAATCCAACCTTTTCTCTGGGGAAAATTCTTCATTCCTTTTGAATGTCCACCCCCAAAGTTGACTTTCAATACTTAAATGTTTTTGGATACTAAGTAGAGAAATAAAGAAAAAAACTGGTAATTGAGTCAGATCCAAACACACTCAAAAATCAGTATTTATAGAGATCATACATCAGTGGATCAACAGTTTGGTTTGGACCGCGTCTCTGGCCTATGCTGAAGTTGCTTGTGTGTCTGTCAGACGGTGACTCTGCTTTTGTGGGTGCTTAGCTGCCAGCTAGAGAGCCTTAGCTTTGCCCTGCGTAGCACTGAAGCGATACCTGCCCCCAGGGCTCTGTGCATATTCTACTTGTTAATACCCCTTGTAAAAAGCAAGTCCCTGGCCAGTCCCAGAGTCAGAGTTGCAAGGTTACACAATAAATACTGTGTATATCAGGAGAAGTAAAAATATGAAGTTTGCATTTCTGCAATAAAGCTATCATAAATGGAGACAAATGCTTTTATATAAAAATATTAGATATTTATAGGGCCCATGGCATATATAACAGGCACTTTCTAGTATACTATTTGTTAGCTTTCCAGGTCTTCCCTTTATTAAACTTCCAGAACATTCTCACCTCTAGGAACTCCTCTATTTGCAAGCATTCGGATATTACTCAATCTTCCTTTAATTACAAAATTTATACTTTACACTTCTCTACTTCTAGATTAACAGCAGTCAGCACTTCAAAATTTGCTTAATATATTTGAGGTTATAATGCTTGGGTTGGCGCTCCAGTGGCTCAGTGGTATTGAGATATCAGGTAATATTGGTTATGCGGTAGATTGACAAGCTATCTAATGTAGTATTGTGAAATAAATATATTTTCTTCTTCTGAACAGTCCCAGGATAAATGTCTGCATATAAAGTTTACTTCCATTAGGCATTGCGCTTAATATTAGAAAAACTCTGATGTATGATGAAAAACATACCATGCACGTATGGAAGATTCCTTTGTGCAGAGGAAAATGGAATTCACAGAATTATAACAAAAGGAATGTCTCTATTTTCTTTAATTAATCAGTTAACTTATTCTCTTTGTAGCATGTGCTTGATAGATAATGATGTTAAATTATAAATGTTGGAGGTAGGGGTTGCCTATTACTGGAAACATTCAAGCAAAACTTTACCCTGATGAAGGAATACAAAAAATTAAGCTACAAAATTTCTAAATTTCTTTTTACTTTAAATCCATAATTAATTCAAGTTATACTCTTCCCTATTTCAAAGGCATGAATATTATTATACCCCAGTAGTTTTACAGATGGCATACAGTTAAGCTATCTTATAATTCCAGTAGAATTAAGGCATATGTACTTTTTCATTGTCATAAATCAAATTCAGGGGCTAGATTTTCTGACTTCATTGTCTTACAAATGACTTTGATACAGAGGTACCTTTGTTGTGATAAATAAAACCTGCAGGTAAAATACTGACTTTCCTTTAGATATTTTCTTTATAGAGTAGAAAAATTTCCCTGCCTTCCACTAAATCTAATGTGGCAGGTTGACATTATTTCTACAGGGCAGTAAATATTATTTACATGAAAGAGAAGAACAGGGTAGGCAAGTTTTTAAAAATTAATTTAATTCAGTTCCTTAGTTAAATAATTACTTAAGGAGTTCTAAGGCAGATACGGTAATGAGAACAAGAAAAACAAATTCAAAATCTGTTCTTGTACTTAAGGATCTTAAAACTGTATGAAAGATATATGGAGACAACACCATAGTATTGGGGAAAAGTCACATTAGTTATACAAGTAGGATAATGGGAGTAGAGAAGGGGACCCACAATGCTCAGGGAAAGCTTCTTGGAACAAATAAAATTTGAACCAACTGAGGAGCAATGAGTAGGATTAGAGATAGAATATGTGTACAAAATATTATGAACCACTTATTCTATAGAAACATATTTGGTCTTATGTGAAAATTTGTCAAATATTGGGCCACAAAGCAGTTTTAAACCAATTTTAAAGAATTAATACCTAATACATTATATGATATAATTAGGTTAGTCTCAGTACAAAAAAACTTAGGAAATTTTCATATGCTCGGAAGTTTAAAAAAACAATTGTTGAATGACTCATGTCAATGAAAAATCAAAAGGAGAATTAAAAATAATTAGAATTGGATAATAATGAAAGTTATATATACCCAAACTTGTGGGTTGCAACTAAAACAGTATTTGGAATGAAATGCGTATCTTCCAATTTTATTATTAGAAATGGAAAAATGCTGAATTAAATAAGTGGTAATCCAAATAAAGCAAATGAGAAATCAATATTACTCTAAAAGAAGCAAAATAAAAATAACAGTGGAAAGTCTCAACAGACAGAAAAGGTCCTTCTTAAGGTCAGTAGGTTGAATAATGCTTTCCTCTCAAGTATATTCATGTGCGAATTCTTGGGATACATAAATGTTATACCACTTAGCAAAAGACACTTTGCAGATATAAGTATATTCATACTTTTGAGCATTAGAGATTATCCTGAACTCTCTAGTTGTAATCAAATGTAATCACAGGGTTCTATATGTAAAAAATGAAGTCAAAGGCATGAGAAAACAATGTGATAACAGCACCAGATTGGTATGATATTGCTGCAAACCAACTGTGATGGTTAATTTCTTGTGTCAAATGAATGGGCCATCCAGTGTGTAGACGTTTGTTCAGAAGTTACTCTGGTGTATCTGTGAAGGTGTTTCTAAATGAGGTTAACACTTGAATCATTGTAGTGTGTAAAACAGATGACCTCCCCCAATATGGGGGGACCTCTTCCAATCAGTTGGAAACCTGAAGAGATCAAAAAGCCTGAATAAGAGAGAACTTATCCTTTCTGACTATTTGAGCTTGGATATTGGTCTTTTCTTGCCTTAGGACTCAAACGGAAACAGGGAGTGCTTGGAGGTGTTGCTACTGCTAGCTTCCTCATTAGAATTTACATCATTGACTCTCTAGGTTAAACTCTCCTCAGTTCCCAAGTTGTAGACTCAGATCCTGGGACATCTTGGTCTCCACGATCTATGCACGTCCATATATATTTTAATTCCACTCCCCCCCGACCCCCCGGAGTCTGTGTCTCTTCAGAATCCTGATGGCTGCTTTCCAAAGGGTGATACAGTACTACTACACCTGAAAGAGTCAAGGGGTGAATTCTCCCCTAGACTCTTCAGAAGCAACGTAGCTTTGCTGATACCTTGATTGCATCCTGTGAGTGTCCTTTCAGACTCTTGATTTCTAGAACTGTTAAGAGAAGAAACTAATGTCCTTGATTTGTGGTATTGAGCTACAGAAGTATAGGAAACTAATAAAACTAAGAAAATGCACAACGCTGTGACAAAATTGGTCATGGAAATATGAAGAAGAAAGAAATATGTGATGACCCATTATAAAATTTGTGAATGACAAAGAAATAAGAATGAAAAAAATAGGAAATGACTAAAGATAATGTAGGTATTAACATATAATCAACAGACATTATGAACAGCTTTGTAATAACAAATTTAAAATTTTTGGTGAGACAAAATTTCCTGGAAAATATTATGAATAAAGAAATAGCAAACTTGAAAAGTGATATAACCTTTAGAGTTATTGAAAAAAAAGACTAAAACTTTTACAAAAAGATCTACTGATTGTTCAAGAAAACGTTTTGATCCTATGTAACCTATTCCTAAGCATAGAAAAGAAAGAATATTATTTGGTGCAGTCAGTGAAATTATCATAACGTAAATACCAGACCCTTTCAAATGCAGTGTAGCAAGGGAAAATTACAGTTCATTCTAACTCTCAAACATAAATGTGAAATTATAAGTAAAATATTAGTAACTGAATCCTAAAATCCATTAAAGGAAAATACATCATGATCAAAATGGGCTAATTCCAAAGAATAAAAGTTGGATTTACATTAGAAAATCAGTATAAAACTTATAGGTGACAAATAAATTACAACAGCTCATCATCAGATGTAGAAAATTTATTGTATATAATTCTGTACTTATTCATTTACCAAAAAAGTAATGGAAGGGCCTTTCAATAAGCTGATATAGGGCACTTAAAAGAACACTTAAAATATCATATATAATACTGGAGTTAAAATAGCTTCCTTTAAATCAAGAATAAGACAAGTAGAGCTATAATCATTCTTTCTATTTAAAAATTTCCTGGAAACCATAACTGATGTAGTACAGCTAGAATACCATAATTTATAAGAATTGAAAAAGAAGAAATAAATCTGTCATTCTGATAAGACTGGCTGTGGAAAATACGAACAACAATTATTACAATTATAAGACAATTCAGCAAGAATTTGCTAGATACAAAATCTATGTAAAACCAATTACAGTTATACAAGAGTACCAAGTAGAGGGCCGGGGATTTAGCTCAGTGGTGCCTCTGCCTGCCTCGCAAGCACAAGGACCCAAGTTCAATCCCCGGTATCAAAAAAAGAAAAAAAAAAAAAAAGAAGACTACCAAGTAGAAAAAGTTTACATATCATTCAGAAAAGTGTCATGCAAAGAACAATGTGGCTAGGAATAATTCTAACAAAATAGATAAAACATCTTTAAAGAGATAATTATAAAACTTTATTAAGAACATTAAAATATTTCTTAATAAATAGATTATAGGCTGGAAGACTCTTGTCTTAAAGTTGATTATTATTTTCAAATCTTTCTATCAATTCAGAATAATTCCAATAAGTGATATATATATATATAATTTTTGTACCTGTTTATAATAGTAGCCTACCTCTTTTCCCTAGTTTTATATCCCACTTTGTCAAATAATAAGCATAACATAATTTATAAAAATTTCTTAAGAAATGACAAGATTTTAAGTATATCTTTGAGAAGAGTTTATTAAAATATACGTACACTTAAAGTATCTTAAACATATGTTTTAAAATTTGAGAGAAAAATAAGCATTTATCCTTCAGGAAGGTATGAACGAGTTCCATAGTAAAGCACGGGTCTTAAAGCACTTCCCACTGAAAGCCACTCAGCGTGGATCTCCCACACCCCACGTCTCTCTGACGAGAGCGGAGCTGACTTGGAAGAACCACACACAGACGGTGAGATAACAGCTGTTTCCTTGTGTAGCTTGAAGACTTGCTGCAAGTCACTGTGCACTTGGTGAGGGGTGAGGAGCCAGCCCAGGCAGAGTCAGGGCTAATCCCGTTAAGGAAGTGCCTGAGACACTGTGGGACAGCCTCTCTATCAGCTCCAGGTGTAGCTTGTGGAAGAAAACAAAGGCAAATTTTGCACTCTGTGTGGTACAAGTAATTTCTCTCAAAATCACTTATCTTGACATTATGAAACGAGTTAATATTCAGAATAGGGCACAATTTAACCCCCAACTATGATTCGTTTTTTCTAATATCTCAGAAAAGGGGAAGTTAAAGAATAGATAGGGTAATTTCTTTTTAAAAGAATAAGAACTTGCTTTATCAGACAAAAATATACAAAAGTACAATAATAATTGTACCAAATAATGCATTGCAATAAAATAAAACTTGAAAATGGAAGAGAATCACTAGCTTAGAGAGTAATTTTCAATCTTATTTATGAAACAGTGGCTATGACTAGAAATGACATACTTTGTAGTTAATTCATAATGTTCAAACTACTAAGGAAAATGATGAAATTTAATTTTTACTTCATATAATACATAAGACTTAAGAGCAAATGGAATGACATTTTTGAATAAACAGCCAAAAGCTTTCTTAAAGCTTTCAGAAGGCAATGATTTCCTAACTTTACTAAGGTAGGAGTTCTTTAAGACATAAAAGGAGCTCAAAATGTGAAAGATAAATTAGATTGACAACCCTAAAATGAGAGCATGTCTTTATTAAAGCACATTTTAAACACGATTCAGGACAGGCCACATTATATATCATCAGAATTCAAAACATTTAAAGGTCTCCTACAGATTAAAATAAATACCCACTTGTAGAAAATCAAGCCCAAGACTTGTCTGGCATTTTGTAGAAGAGGCAACCTAAATGATGAACAGACAGGCGAAAAGATGTTCCTCTCTGCAAACTTATGTATTGACAAAAATGAAGAGAATAAAAGGCCTAACTAACTATATGACACAATGGTGAAAATACAGAGCTGTGAGAACATTCATACTCTGATAGATAGAGGGAGTATATATTGGTCAATTTGCACAACACACCACAAATGAACTAGCAAATCTATTCCTAGATGTATACCTCAGAGAAACATTTCACACGTGTGCAGTGGGTATAGACAAGAATTTTGTAGCAGCAATGTCATTTGTAGCAAAAATATTGGCAGTGGCCCAGATTCAATCATGGAGGTGATAAATATATTGAGATGAATTTATAAAACTGTTTACTATAAGATGGTGATAACAGATGCACTTCAGCTACAGAAAACAATGAGCTCATCTCAGGAAAATAATAGTGTGAGACTCCAGGTGACATGCCTTCCTAAGCAATAGTTGCTGTTTAAGGACGCAAATATATATGCTCAAATTCAGAGAAAAGCAAGTGAATTATAAACATACAACTTAGGGTTGTAATTATTTTCAGGAGAGAACAGAAAAGCACATGGAAAAAAACCAGGAAATTTCTGTTAAAGACAATGTTCTTTTTTTAAGTTAATGATTAGGTTCATGGCTGTTTGCTTTCTTGTTAATAGTTAGACTTTTCTTTGTTTTTATAAATATTGTAAAGAGTAAATGGGAGTTACTTGGGATAGATGGGCTAAGGGAGGAGGATCAACAAAGCCACAGAAGTGGCCAACAGCCCAATGCTTGGGGAAAAATAGAAACAGGGAAGTGTTAACAGAGCACACATAATGAGAGGGGTGGGAATGAGAGGCGAGGCTGGGGAGACAAACTTAGTCAGAGAGGGAATTCTAAACAAGGAGAGCTTGTATTTTCTCTGTCAAATGATGAAAACTCTCATGAAAGGCTTTGGAATGGAGAATGACTTAGTCATGACACACTATAACTCAAGTACCATTGTAGAGACAGAGTGGAGATATGGTTCTCAACTGTGGCTATACAATGGCATCACAGAAGGAGCTCTTCAGAAACACAGGGCCAAGATTCCACCCTTAGGTGCTCTGATACAATTCATTAGACATGGATTTGGGGCCAGACAATGGATTTGACAGGAACCATAAGGATGGTATTGTAAGAGGCAGATTTCTAAGATGGCTTCCAACAATTTCTGCCTCCTTGTATTCCTGTTCTTTGGGATCCCCTCTCCTGGAGAGTGAGCTGGACATAATGACTTGTTTCTAATGAATAAGATAGAGGAAAGGTTATGGAATGTCATTTTTAAGGTCTTATGATGAAAAACAATGACTTCTATTGAGTTCTCTCTCTCTCTTTCTCTCCCTCTCTCCCTCCCTATTTCTTTCTCTCCCTCCCTCTCTCTTCTCCATCTTTATGAGCTTCACTCATTCTTATAGAGCCAGCTGTCATGTTGTGAGCTGCCCTACTCAAACTCGCATGTGTCAAGGAACTAGAAAGGCCTAGGTCCATGGCCCAAGGAATCTGGATTCTGTCTATAACAATAGGCATGAGCTTGAAAGTAGGTCTGGTGGCAGAAGGGAGATGACACAGCCGCCTGGACAACTTGGTCATGACCTGTGAGTGACTGTAAATCAGAGGACACAGGTAAGTCACACACAAATTCCTCACCCAGAAAACTGTCAGATGGCAACAGTCATTGAAGTCACTACATGTATGGTAATATGTTTTACAGAAATGGACATTTGATAGAATGACAGTGATTGTGGTTGGCAGAACAATAGCCCCTCAAAGATGTCTATGTTCTAATGCTTGAGAATCTCTGAAAATGTCATTATATGGTGAGGGGACATTGAATTTACAAATCAGCTGACTCTGCAAGGGGGAGATTGTGCCAACGAGTCCAATACAATTGCAGGGTCCTTATAAAATAAAGAGGGAAGCAGGAGGAGCAACATCTGAGAAATGCGGTAAAATATTGCTGGCTGTGAAGATATCACAAGGAGACACAGACGAGAAAATGCAGGGAGCCTCAGGAAACTGGAAAAGTTGAGGAAGCTGATCCTTGCTCTGGCAGGAACCTGGTCCTGGTAACACCTTTATTTTAGCCCAGTGAGACCTACTTTGGGCTTTTGACCTTAAGAACTGTAATGTAGTATATTTGTTTTGTTTTAAACCAGTACATTTGTCATAATTTGTTACAGCAGCAATAGGAAATTGTGTGGTGATAGTAATGCCAATGCTAATAGCTTTCATAACCTTTAAAAGGGCACAAATAACATCACCATTTATTCAATGCTTACTATGTGTCTAGAAATATATTGTAGAATCTTATGGATGATACATCACAGAATGTCCAAACAACCCTATGATGTAGATTCTATTGCCGGTCTTATTTTGCAGACAAATCAGAAATAGTTGTATTGCTCATGTTACACAGGAAACGAAATCCACACACTTTAAACATTTTTGCCATTTTGCCACGTTATCTTCTGAAGACCTCCAAATTGATTCTCCTGGGAGGTGTGAGAGATAGAAAGCAGGAAACAGAGCAGGCTTCTATCCAATTTCCTTTGTATGCAGAGGGCCTGAAAGTAATCACCCAGAACTGCTTTTTGCAAATGAGTACAGTTGCTTTCATAATAGGCATGCAGGAGGTCACACAGTTATTTTGATAATACTATCATTTCCAAAAGTACTTTTTAAATTGCCTCACTTCAGTAATCATCATCAGACCCTATAGCATATTGCTGGAAATATTCTCACATAGGCAATTATTAATCCTCTAAGAGTCATTTTAATTTTTAGAAATAGCCAACATTCTTTCAGAGTTAAATTGAGGAAGGTGATTTCTGATTGTGAATGTCTGAGAAAATAATAACAATAGCTAAAACGTGTTGATTCCTGACAGTGGTAATATATTTAAAACTTTATGAATCCTTGTTATCTCCACATTGAAGACAAATGTGACAGTTAAGATTAATTTTAACTTGTTTGGCTGAGAGTTGCCTCAGGGATTAGTAAAGAGCACACTTCCTGGTGTGGCTGGGTGGAGTGGTAGATGTGTGACAGTAGGTGCTACCTCTGGCCCTAGGCCCTACCTTTCTGATGCTGTTCCCCTTGCTGTGCTTCCTGGTCATCATGAATTGGACAGCTTTACTGCGTCACACTCTCCCATGATGTTTGTGCTTTGGAGCCAGCTGACCATGGATTGAATCCTCTGAAACTATGAGCCCCATTTAAACATCTCCTCCTTTAAATTATAGGTGTTAGGAATTATGTTCCAGTGATCAAAAGTTGACTAATGAAACAGGGAAACTGACAGAGAGACTAAGTATCTTGTCCATGATCTGACACTAATAAGTTGAGAGCAACAGGCTGTGAGTCCTGCATTCAAAGCTATTGCTGTATGCTGTCTTCCAGAATGTTCTCTGAGTTTCCTGCATTTAATGCTGCTATGATACATAGTAATTATAAGATTATTTTGTAGAAGATTGGCTATCATTAGCTTCACTCTAACTTTGACCAAACATTAATAGATCACCTTTCTTCAAAGCTCTCCAAGAAAACTAATTTCATTGGATGTATGAATACAGAGCTTTGTGGAGATATGATGCTTTACACCGAATCTGTAACATGCTATTTATTTTCTTTCAAGTTTTAATATCTCTAAAATTAAAATGCACCTTCATGTCACTGTCAGCTAAGTGGCATCTTTGATATACTGTGTTTCCTACACAAATATATCTACATTTTCAGAATAATCTTCAGTGGCTTGGATTAAAATCATGAAGAAAGTCAGGGACCACACTTTAAAATCAGCATCATCAGTATTCCTCATGGCACAGATAATGATACTGATGAATGAGTGTGGATATCATCTCACACAAAAATGATTCATAAGAGTTGAGATCTATTTATAAAGTCTTACAAATACCTAAAATGACTTCAAAAAAATTACTCAAGAATAGCATATAATATTTATCTAAGTGATTCTAAAATATTTTTTCTAAAATACAAAAAGTATTTTTGGTATTAAGAAAGCATTGAATTTCAGCTAAATTGATAGGTATTTTCTTTTCTTAAAGATATAAAAGTTGTGGGGCCGGGGATTTAGCTCAGTGGTTTCACTGCCTGCTACGCAAGCACAAAGACCCAAGTTCGATCCCAGGTACCAAAAAAAAAAAAAAAAAAGATATAAAAGTTGTGCATCTTATAATGTATTATCTTAGATTTGATGAAATAAAGCAAGTTGGGTTAGTATTGGTTTACAATGTTAAGTAATTTGTTACAGGGCTTCTTAAGATTTGAATCTGCTAATGTACTTGAAATAAAATAAGAGCATTAATAGATTGTCTTAAATTTGATTGACCACAGTAGTGTATTTCATCAGATAGGTATAGAGTCAACTACTCAATAAATTAAATTTTGATAGGTACTCAGCTAATTATCAAAATTTTGTGAAAAGAAAGACAATCTTCAAATAGTTTCTATTATTTGCAAAATTCTCTGAAGATAACACCAAGCCAAAAGTCCCTACAACATTTTAAGTAATGAGAACATGATGAAGTATGTAGTGTTATTCTAAAGTGTTTGTTTGAAAAAAACAATCAAAATCAATAAATTCTACAATTCTTAATCCAAGTCAGCATCTCTCCTTATCTGCTCTCTCTAGCTCCCTGCGATTAACACCTGTCGCTGAATGTTGACGAATGTTTATGGTGGACATTTTCCAGTAGGCTGCAGCTCCTTAGAAAGAAGATTCTCGTCCTTGCTTCCAAAATACCCAAGACAGAGGTCTCATGTGATGATTCCATAAATTCTTATAGGAGAGGAGAAGAGAAGTAAACCCATGAGAGAGATAATTTGCCTATAATAAACATTGTTATGTTAATATGTTTGTGATCTAATGATCCCTTTCTGGTTTCTGAAAGATGGAATAGGGAATTGGACATTAAATATTTCTAATCTTTCCAACAAGCACTTAAATGTCATCACACTATAAATTTCTCTTCCTTGTCCTCAATCCTGAGGGTTAAATACTAGGTTTATTTAGTGTCTTCAGGCAGATGATACCAAATTGGATTTCACCCTAACCAGCCCATGTAATCACCACACACTACTTGGGAATTCCAGTGATGGAGAATAAATGAAACAGCTCCCCTGCACCTCAGCCAGGAGAAGTTTGCAGGGGCTTAGTTCACATTCTATGGAGGATTTCAGTTTGTGCCAGTTATTTCCAGATGCACTCTTCTAAATGTCACAAAACCTACCCCTTCTCTAGACTAATAAGAAAGAAATCAGTCTCATTTAATAGATATAGCTCCAAATTGAAGCATATTTGCTTATTCATTCACTTACTCACTTACTGATAAGTCTAAAATTAATATTGAGGCTCTGTGTCCTACCTGTGGAGTCTTTCCAGAGCACTGACCACCTGTCATCAGGATAACACTCACTGATATATAGTCGCCATGACTCTGGTTTGCCACAGCCTCAGTAATGTCTTGACTCATTTACCATCTTCCGGGTTGTCTAGAAACATAGGAGCCATTTCTGATTCTTCCCTCTTTTTCACACCATACTTCAGCACACTTAAGTGCATGAATATGCATGTATGTGCCCACTCCTACAATCTGTCAGGAAGCCCTGATGAATCTTAAACTTCTCCAATCTATCTTTATCTTTGTGTTCCCATGCCATGCTGTGTTTGGGATTTGCTCATCTTTTATCCAGATTACCTCAACAGCATTCTAACTTCCTTTTAAACCCTCTGTCTCCCTAATCCATTCTGCATAGTACCACTAGAATAAATTTATTTCTTCTAAGAAAAAATAGACATGAGCTTCATGTTCCCAGCTCAAAAAAATATTTAACGACACTCTGCTTTCTCTCAGAATAAAGTGGAAGATTCCCAGCTTCCATTTAGAATGTAGAAAGTTGGAAAGAGCACAGTTCTCACTTTTACAACTAAAAAAGCTGAATAATTAGTAAAATCACAACTTTTCTTGAAGACAAGATTATAGGACAAACACTCACTACAAAAACCTCAGGAATGAGGGGTCCCTCCAAGAAATAAGAGAATACAAGTGTTTTCGGCAGATACCAGATGCCAGGCAAATTGGTTAGACATCAGCAAAAAAGTTAACACATTGCTGAATGTGGGTTCACTTAAGACTACAGGGGACCTGGGAGCCACTAACACAAAGGGTATTTGGACCCATTCACAAGCTCTCCTCCAAAGACCTCCATCTGGTCCTTCCAGAAAGTCTAGGGCAATGGTGAGGGTGTGGATAAAGTAAGCCCATGGCACAGGCTTGGAGGAAGGAGCAGCAGCTGTGAGGGAAAGGCCCAAAGGCCTCTTTGGATCATTGTCCTCTCTTTCCCATATGGAACAAAATCATAATGCACTCAGGGAAAGGGTTCAAAGCTTATTACCTTAGAACCCACACCAACCCACTGAAGCCGGAGGAAGAAAACAGAAAAATTTCCAAGTGAGACAGGAATGCCTCCTGCAGCTAAAACATTAAAGATTCTCTGCCATGGGAAAATGTTTGGGATCTCTACTTATCCTTCCCTGAGTAGCAGATAAAGCTAAAGAGAAGTCTCCATGCCTGAGCTCCAGGGTCAGAGTGTTGCCTCGGAATGAGACAGAACTACAGTGAAGACAAAACCTGCAGCACACACACTGTGTAGCACCAGGGAGGTCAGGAGAATAGGAGAATAAAGAAGACCTCATGCACTGAGTTGTAGAGGAAAAGGAAAGACTACAGCTCAAGAGGCAGCAGTTACTTAGAAAATCCTCTGCAGAATCAGCCCTAGCCCCAAGCACAAAACATCTAGAGGAAAGTGAAGCTCATGGTGTACTAAATATAACCTTAGCATCACTCAAGCTCAAGTGCACTCATAATATCCCCCTCCTAGTGCTAAGCAAAAATAGTTGTCTATTTCCAGGTATAAAATTACTTCTTTTCAAGGCTGTTGTGCTATATAAAATGTATATATTTTCAATCAAAACGATAAAACACATAAAGAAACAAGAAAAAAATCAAACATTTCTCAAGAGACAAAGCAATCAATCGATAGAAACAAACTCATATGGAACATAAGATGTTGTAGACATAGGAGAAAATCTACGTGACCTTCTGTGTGACAATAAGTTTTGAAATGTGGCCCTGAAAATAACAAGTCCAAAGTGAAAAAAAATGATAAATTAGACTTCATAAAAATTAAAAATATTTGTTCTAGGAAAGTTGTTTTTAAGAGGTTGAAAAGACTAGCCACAGACTGGAAGAAAATATTTTCAAATCACATAATTGATAAAAGGCATTATATAAATGCAGAATATATAAAGAACTAAAAACTCAACAATGAGAAGCTAGTCAACCCAATTAAAAATGGAAAAATATATGAACATATACTTCTCTGAAGATGATACTAAATGAACAATAAGCAAATGAAAAGACACTCATCATTAGTTAACAGAGAATGCAAATCAAACTGCAAGGGTATTCCGTGAACAATAGATTCACATTTTAAAATGTCTAAGGAGGAGTTGATGATACACAACACTGCCAAGGAGACAGACCAGTACATATTGTCATTCATTCATTGGGAAAATGAAAAATACTACAGGCACTTTAGAAAACGTTTTTCAGTTTCTTATATGATCATAAATATACATTTATCACATGAGTCAGTGATTCCACTCCTCAATATTTAAAGGGAATAAAGACCTTAATTTCCAGCAAAAACATATAAATAATTGTTGTAAATGTCATAGCAGCTTCGTAATTGTGATTAAGAACTAGAAACAACCAAAATATTCTTCAATTGTTGAATGGATAAAATACAAATAATAGTTTGGCATATCCAGACAGTGGAATACTTCTCAGTAATAAAAATGAAAGAGATACTAATTTAGATAACATAATATATCTTCAATGGATTTTGCTCCGTGAAACAATCTGAATTCATATGTTATAGTTCCTTTCACATGGAATTTTTGAAAAGATAAAACTGTAGAGACAGAGACCATTGTTTGACATGAGTTGAGTGATGGTTATATTACAAAGGAGACACAAGAGCAATATTTTAAGGGAATGAGATTTTTACACATGAGATTATGGTAGAAAACACGTAATTCTGTGCATCTATTAAAACCCAATGAACAGTGTACAACAAAGGAAACTTAAATATGTAGAAATTAATGAAACTTTCCCCAGAATATCAGAGGATCCTAAGATCAAATGCAGACTAAAATAAATAAATTTAACTTTATTACAAATGTATGACATAGTCTTGCTGAAGAAAATGAGAGGAAAGAAGAACTGGTCTAGGTATGCTTGGAAAACAATATTTTGACTTGATATTGAAAAGCTAAAGACAATGATAAAAGTATGTGAATACTGTACTCTAGTAATAGATTTATTTTTCACAGGGATAAAGTTTAGCAATTCTGAACCTGCTTTACTAAGCTAAGGTATGAATAAATAAATAAGCTATAGATAATAAGTTCCAGATTTCCCATTATCAGAAAAGAAGTTATAAATGAGTAGGTGTAGGAGAACAGAGACGGATGCTTCAGTGGACACTGGGTATGAGAGATGGATTACCAGTGTGGATTCATGTTTGTTATTTATCTTTTAATCTTTCTATCATGTGTTTATCTTTTACATTTTTAAGTAATGAATACAAAATACAGATCTATAGTGGGTTTGTACATGTAACTATTTCCCAGCTCTGTTGGTACTGCACTTGATCTTAGCCAGCAGGTCGAGAAGTGATGGCCACTCCGTTGGTGCAGACCCTGTGTGAGTGACAAGCCAGTGACTACGAGTACACAAGTCCCCACGTCTAGCACCATTCTTCAGCAAAACAAGCAAAGCTCCTCGCAGAAATGGCTGATTCTAGGAATGGGAGCAATAAAACACAAGGTGAGCCTGGAGAATATTTTAATTCCATTAAGTATGGAAATGCTAAAAAAGAGGGAGAAAAAAAGAAAAGGAAAAGATAGGATAATCAGATTATGGTGAAGGAAAACAGGTGTCATTTTAAATACAGCCAAAGGCCGAATCTGAAGCAATTTGAGCAACATTGTAACAGTGACAGCACTGGAATAGAGACCAATGAATAAAATAAATATTCAGGAAGCCATACTGATAGAAATGATTAAATAAATAGATGCAAGGGTGGGAAACTCTTCCTCATAGAACAATTTCAATTAGAAAATGTGGAAGAAGAAAATTGAAAATCACCATTCACAGATTACAGTAACAATTGCTGCTGATAATATGTGTGATTGCGTGCTAAAATTAGCAGGTAGAATATTAAAAAAAAAAAAAGTATGTCCCTCCAAATTTACTAATTTCTCTCCTCTCTCATGGTTTTAACAAATGACATCATTTTTTAATAACATTCCTTTAGAAGTTAATATATACTTTGCTTTTGACTATAGTCTATAAATAATGACTCACCTGAACAAATAGAGTCTGGCAATGGAAAAATAGCCACTTTCCAATGGGAGACCTTGGGGCTATTACCTTTATCAAGTGATCAAAGTTTATATCATCAGTACGAAGTCATGTTGATAGCATGGGTCCTTTGATATGGTGGAATTACAAGAACACATCCTCTTTGTGATATTCCTTCTCAACATCTATAACCTGAGTCAGTTCAGGACAAGGCATCGGGTAAATCCAGTTTGAGCTATATATGACAAAACCTTTTTATAAGTGTCAAAGTCATAGGAAAATTGAGAAACAGATTGAAGGAGACTATCGAGTCATAACTAATGCAATGTGGTATCCTGCTTGCATTCCAGAACAAAAAGAACCATTAGTGAGAAAATGGGGCAAATTTGTAT